CCGAGCGGGCGGAGCGGGCCGAGCGGGGCCGAGCGGGCGGAGCGGGGCCGGGGGGGCGGAGCGGGGCCGCGCGGGGCCGAGCGGGGCCGAGCGGGCGGAGCGGGCCGAGCGGGGCCGAGCGGGCGGAGCGGGGCCGAGGGGGCGGAGCGGGGCCGAGCGGGGCCGAGCGGGGCCGAGCGGGCGGAGCGGGCCGAGCGGGGCCGAGCGGGCGGAGCGGGGCCGAGGGGGCGGAGCGGGCTGAGCGCTGCGCTGGAGGGCGGACAGAGGGCGGGATGGCGGCGGGAGCGAAGCCAGTCCTCCCTCCTCCCGTCCTTCTCCCTCCTCCCGTCCTTCTCCCTCCTCCTGTCCTTCTCCTTCCTACACTGCTCAAAAGTGCCACAATATTGTGAAGAATCACTGTTTTTCTCGCTTCCCACCTCGAGTTATGCGGGTTTTGCCCAAGACACGGAATTCGCCGTGGAGGGGTTTTAGCGGCGGATTTGCCGGCGCGGCAGAAGCGGCGACGCGGAGCGAGGGGTTTAGCAGGGCTGTTCCCGAGGTGCGCGCGGTACTTTGCGGTGAGATTGTCAGCAGGAGGCGGATATAAATCCTGCTCTTTTTCAGAATCGATCTAGGGTGGGTCGAGAGGATCAACAGGGTTTGAGTCTTGGGTAGTAAACGGGGATTGTTTCTCTTTAGGATCATTCTTGGCGAGGGGCGCACTTGCCAAAGAAGGTAAATCAGTAACATTTGTGGCTTGTAGGCGGGTTAATGCCGAAAACACCTGTTGCCACGTTGAAAGTAAACTTAAAGCTTTTTCATCTGGCGTTCGCCTCAGCTCTTCCCCAGTTCGCTTCCGTATGGAAACATTCAAAGTTCCCTCTCGGGGAAACCAGGAACAATTGTCTGTTACTGAAACTAACAGTGTTACTAATGATACCTGGCATACATTACTGCCGTAAATCTTTAATATCTTTGTGAGTATTTCCATCTAATTCTTTTTTGTTCTCGTGTTAGTGATTGTCCCCTGGTTCCCAGCTGCTCACCCGCTGTCCTGCAGAGGTGATGGGCACGTGTAGTCAAATTCTGACCCCGGTCTCTTTCCATGGTTCACCTGGGCTATGCCACCGGAGCTCCAGCTATATTTTCTGGATTAAATTTGCAAACCCCACGTTCAGGATGCCATTCATGACGTCTCAGACACGGATCCCATGTAGTATAATGGAATCATTTATTACAGTTCTTTCACAGTTTATATACCCCATTACAGCAGCAGTAAATTCCTGTTAGTAACTTTTCTCTAGATCTACTTTTTAGTTAAGCATTCACTGCCCATGAGAAAAATACTCCCAAGCAATTTCCCCCACACAAAGATACATCCCACCACGTCCACTTTTATCTTGCCAAGTTCCCCTTAAGTTTCTCCCAGGTCATATAATCTCTGTTCCCTACAGTGATGCCAAGAACACCTGCTGGGCATTGCTAAGGGGGTTTATATAGTTTTAGTAAGTATAGAAACACTTTACATTTGCCAGTGACTCAGCAGCAGAGTCCACAGGTACTCCTAGTCTGTGTCAGTTGATCCTTGTTCTGTTTTTTGGATTTTTTTTCCTTATAAATATTCCACAAATTGCTCCTATGGGATCAGTTTTGCTTTGCTGAGGAGAGCTGTGACTGCTGGGCCCTTGGGGGATTATGAGCTTTTTGTGTTTTTATTTGAGGAGCACAGGAGCGTCCTGATAAAGCCCACGACGGAGCAGGACCTGTGCAGGCCCTGGGAGCTCGGGGTGTTGTCCCAGATCAGCTCGTGGCAGGAGGAGCTGAGGGTGCCCCTGTCCCCTCTGTGGCCCCAGGGGTGGCAGAAGCCCCTTGTGAGGCAGGTCCAGAGGCACCATCTCCTGTCCTGGAGGCTCCATGAGCTGCCCTGCAAAGGGTGTGGAGACAGGGGGTGGCCTCAGGTGGGTCTGAAGGGCCGTCCAGCACCTTGGGGGGTGACCGGGGGGGGGGCCTGGGACTGAAAACACCTCCCAGCTGTGCAAGTCCTTGGGACAACACCTTTCCAGGTGTGGTGGTGCATCCCCACCCCTCCAGGCTTCCCTGTGATCTGAGAAATGCTCCTTAGGCCTCAGCCTTGATGAACAGCCCTGGGCTGAGCTGCTCTTGAGCTGCTCAGAAACACTCTCTGCTGCCAGGAACTGGTGCTGTCTAACCAGCTCCTGCAGTTTAAGCAACAGCCTGGGAAACTTCTTATTTTTCTTGCCTGAAGAACAACCCAAGTGGAATCCGATTTTTGTTCTCCAGTGGATGACAAGGTGGGAGTTGTGGTTGAAGCTCTTCCCGTAGTCGGTGCAGCAGAAAGGCCTCTCCCCTTGTGTGTGTCTGCTAATGCAGGAGATGTGAGCTGGTCTGAAACCTCTTCTCACTTTCAGGACACTTGTAGGGCTGTTCCCCACTCTGGATCTTCTGGTGGCAGATCAAGTCAGAGCTCAGGCTGAAGCTCTTCCCACATTCCAAGCACTTGTAGGGCTGTTTCCTGGAGTGCAGGCGCTGGTGGGTGATGAGGTTGGAGCGGTCATTGAAGCTCTTCCCACATTCCCCACACTGGTAGGGTTGTTCTCCGGTGTGGATGATCTGGTGGCGGATCAGGCAGAAGTGCCGGCTGAAGCTGCTCCCACACTCGGAGCACTTGTAGGGCCTTTCCCCAGTGTGGATGCGCTGGTGGCAGATCAGATTGTATCTCTTCCTGATGCTCTTCATGCATTCCAAGCATTTGTAGGGCCTTTTCCCAGTGTGAAGCTGCTCATGGACCTCCAGGTCAGAGCTCAAGCTCTGGCCGCCTTCCCGGCACAGGGTGGGTCTTTCCTCCTCAGAGCACCCTGGGCTGCCTTTGGAG